AGAGCACGCGCACACGCGATCATGCACACGTGCATGCCCACCCCCATAATTTTATGCCCCCCACACAGTGCCCCCTGCGCATGCACACGTGACCTCCCCCCCACTGCTGCGCACATGTGCACACAGCTTTCCTGGAGCCTGGGGAAGGCAAAAACAGCCTCCCCCGCCCCACTGGAGGCTTTCGTTTCCTCCAGGTTGCCCGTTGGCCCGTTTTTCTCCATCCGGAGGCTTCAGGAGGGCGAAAAACAGCTGAAAATCAAGACCAAAAATCAGCTGGCTAGCGCACACAGGAGCTGACAGGCAATGCCTCGCGTGCCCTCAGAAATGGTTCCACATGCCACCTGTGACACGCGTGCCATAGGTTTGCCATTATGGCCATAGGGCCTTTCCTGAGGAAGGAGCATTTGCTTTGCCCTCTGGGGAATTTTTGCAGAGTTTGGAATAACCTCTCTGGATTCTCGGCCAGCTGGATGCATCATGCCAGCTCTTCCCTAGGGATTCTGATTTGGGTATCTAAAGGCCAAGGTTACTTTTCCAGAGCAATGAATAAATACAGGTCATATATTCCCATTACAATTCCAGGGAAGCCCAACAACTCCCTTTCCTCCAGGACCCTCATAGATCTTGGTCTCTGAACTTTTATCACCTAAAGCTGAAGTTTTATCTACAGCAGTGGTTCCCAAACTTGGCAACTTTTAAGACTTGTGGACTTTAACTTCCAGAATTCTCCAGCCAGCAGCTGGCTGGAGAATTCTGGGAGTTGAAGTCCACAAGTCTTAAAGTTGCCAAGTTTGGGAACCACTGATCTACAGGGATATTGATGTGAGTGATGCGGTTCATCACCTCAGTTTTTCCACAAAGGGTAGCTACATGGAAAATACGTTGTGGTGGTCTGCCTTTTCACAAGAGAGTTTGGGCAAATAGTAGAGAGTGGGCTTTGAGCAGGCTGCTTTCATGGCCCATTTCTTTGTATGCATGCGTGTACAAGAGGGTCATCGCGATGGGTGGATACTTTTTAAAAAATTCAGAAACAGACACATTCAGTAAATTTCATAGTAAATTCTCCTACGGACAAGAAAAAAAAGACTTTACAAGGAGCACTGGAATCCTATTTTGACAACTCACCATTGATCTATAAGAGAGGTCTTCAAAGTTGGCAACTTTAAGACTTGTGGACTTCAACTCCCAGAATTCTCCAGCCAGAATTCTGGGAGTTGAAGTCCACAAGTCTTAAAGTTGCCAAGTTTGGGGACTCCTGGTCTATAATGATCGAATGAGTGAATGTGCTGGTATTAGTAGAGACAGACTCTGAAACAAGGGAGCTTGTATGGCCCCATCAGGACGCATATATTGGTTCATTTATGTGCAATTATGTGCAGCATTAAGGGGCTGTGATGGAAATGCTGTGACCTCAGCAAAAACAGACGCACTTCCTTCTTGCTATAGTTGCTTCAGTCTGACTGGTAAAAGAAGAGGAAAACTAGAGAGAATAGGAATAGGTCATGGTCTTTACAAGGCGAAGAGAGGGGAAGGGCATACCTATATTCATTGATCCTAAAGAAGAAGAATGGTGAAATTATTTACTATGTTTACATGGATACATGCATGAGAGCATGGGGAATGTTTTGGACTAGCAGTGGGAGAAGCAGGTTGCAATCCTCTTAGGACAGAAGCTGGCTGGGTGACTTTCAGCAGTCCCTCCCTCAACCATCCTAGAAATAAAACAAAAACAAACCTACTAATCCACATCAGACCACCATGTTAGATTCTGACCCCTCCCCTTCAGGGAAGAGGCCATCTTTCTGCAGTGGATTGATTTGATGTGATTATTATGATGGTGGTGGCAGTGACTACAGAATTAAAAATGGAAAGCTGAAAAACAGGATTACTGACTTTCAGATTTTGGGATCCCTTGTTATCCAGCTCCTCTCTCAGAGTATTCACTCTCTCAAACCCAAAGTTAAGTGGGGTCCCTCACAAGTCCCTGCAGGTGCCACATCTGGCAATCTTTTTCCTTCTCTGATCAGATACTATTACCTCTTAAAAGCTTTTTTCAGTTTGCTTTTCTTTGGTCGGCTCTGGAGATAATCTGGCTGGCCTGATGTAAGTGAATAAAAGCAAAGAAAACAACATTGGTGGATGTTAGCACAATGTCCGCAATGTTCATTCATTCATTCATTCATTCTTGGATAAAGAGTTTAAGAAAATACAAAGTATTCTTCATCCTGAACGCTTCCACTACAAATATCTTTAGCAAGAAGTGGGCCACTGTCAAATACTTTTGTGTAAGAGTTTCACTATGAATACTATAAATAGATGGAACTATAAATATTTTCTTATCAATGATTTATTTTTCTAGCCAAAGGAAGTGTTAGTCATTTAGGAGCAATAAGTAAACATATGCAGCCGTTTAGGGAATGGAAAGACTGCTTTAATGTCAGCCTGTCTTTTGCTAGTCAGTGAAATTTTACAGTCCTTGATGATTCATTGAGACACTTTTAATTATATATCTGATATGGTGCAATTTAAAATCTCATTATGTCATACCCAGAGTATGAAATTTCTAGAGAATTCCTCCAAATTCCTCAAAAAAAATTGTACGTTACTGCCATGATAGAGAGTATACCGGTCTCCTCTTTAGGGAAGTGGCCTTTTTTTTGCTGCTTAATCTGGGGGTTGTTTGCTGAAATTTAAAGGTGAGAGGTAAGATGGGGCTGTTGTGTGTTTTTCCTCCAGACTAGACAGGCTCCATTCTTTCCCCAAAATTCCTCGCCGGGAACCATCCCTGCTTCATTCCGGCCTCCTCGAAAGGGGCATCCTTCTGCATCTGGACCAGAAGGGAATCCGGATCTGACCATCTTCAGGTGGTTTTGCTCAACAGGAATCCGTCCCCTTTTTTAGAGCTAGCTGGCCATTTTAGTGCAATGAATCGTGAGTGCCCTTGGAGCGGAGGCCCTCTTTCCCTTTGGAGGGAAATAGTACCAATGCTGTCCTGCCCTCCTCCTCTTCTTCCTCCTTTCCCCTTTGGAGGATTTTGGTGTGCTCAGGCTAGGAGGTCAGTGCAGCAGGCCCATCATAATGCAATCATGGATTACATTTGCAAAAGAGAGACTGTGAGCTGGAGGCGGGGTGCACATTCCTGCCTCTGCTGCCCAGTCCCTCATTGGGCTTCCTGCAAGTAAGGGAGCAGCCGCCTGGGCAATGGGGAGTCCCAGGCGCAGCTCCAAGGAAAGGAGACAGACAGGCAACAGAGGAGACTTCCTGGGAGGGTTGTGCAGTGCTCAGCCACTTGCTGCAGCATCCAGCAGTCAAAGATAAACCAGGCAGATGTTTGCCGTCTGGGATGATAACTACTCCTTCTCCTGCCCCTCTTGCGTGCCAGCCCCGTCTGCTCGGAGGATACCTCAGACTTCTGGCCAGTGGTAGTTCTGAAGCAGGAGCTCGGTGGAGGTGTTTGGAGGAAAGAGATGGGGAAGACGCCGGGGTGGCTGTCTTTCCACAGCCCCAGGAAACTCTTGTTTCAGAGCACCAGGATCAAATTAGCACAGCTTTGCTTCAGAGAACTAATTAAAATGTAGAATGTCCTAAAACCTCTTGTGTGACAAATGTAAGATTAGAAACAATTAAAAGCCACTCAAGAGGTTTGTGGTGTTTAGATTTCTGACATCGCTGTAATCATCCCTAGAAGTAATGAAAACAATGGTTACTCTCAAAGAAAGAGAGACTCAAGTTTATCAATCACCAATTAATGATTGTTTCTCATGTTGAAGGTTGTGGGGATTTCAAGGTTGGATTTGTGGGGCTTATTTTTCAAGGCAGACAAAACAACTTCCTTCCCCCACTGTTTTTTTCCCCTCCTCATATATGTGGGTTTTGAAAACATGATCTCAAAATAGTTTGATCTTCCGTAAATCTGGAGTTTCTGGCTCTGTAAATAAAGGCCCTGCATTAAACACTAATTTGGCAAAGGATGGTTTCATTTGAAGGGTTGAGAATAGAGGAGCCCCTCAAAGACTGCAGTCCTCTCCATGCTTCACTGCCAGCAGACGGGACCCCCTCAAGGACACGGCCGGAAAAGGAAGTTACAGGTCACCACTGAATGGCCAGTTTATAGCAATAGCAGTTAGACTTATATACCCCTTCATAGGGCTTTCAGCCCTCTCTAAGCGGTTTACAGAGTCAGCATATTGCCCCCAACAATCTGGGTCCTCAGTTTGTGAACAGAAGGATGAGGGATGACATGGCAGCAGTCTTCCAGTATTTGAAGGACTGCTACAAAGAGGAGGGGATCAGATTATTCTCCAAAGCCCCTGAAGACAGGAAAAGAAACAATGGATGGAAACCAACCAAGGAGAGAAGCAACCTGGAATTAAGGAGAAACTTCCTAACAGGGAGGACAATTAACCAGTGGAACAGCTTGCCTCCAGAAGTTGTGGGTGCTCCATCGTTTGAGGTTTTTAAGAAGAGACTGGGCAGTCACCTGTCTGAAATGGTATAGGGTCTCCTGCTCCTTGTGCAGGGGGTTGGACTAGAAGACCTCCAAAGTCCCTTCCAACTCTGTTATTCTGTTAAGTGTGTGCCACAAGGAGTGGCCATGTATTGCTCAGCTATCTGCTGCTTCCTCCTAGCCCTGCAAAAGGCACTTTGTGTCTTTCTTTAGCTCTTTCAAATGTAAACAGCCCTAGATGAGCCAGGAGCAAATGTAATATAGGTCATTCGCTAACAACTCCATCCAAACACCATTGTGCCAAAATAACAGCAATGCAGACAGGCTTCGTTTGATGGCTGTGATGCTGTGAAGGCACTCCAAGTCACGGGCGGGAGGGAGGGGGTGGGGGTGGGTGGGGGGGATGGCCACAGGAACATGTGACCGAGAAACAGCCCAACTTTGGAGAGTTCTTGTGGGGAAGATCTGTCACTTCTCGCAACTCGTGGAGCACATTAACTTTATTACTCCCGTGTAAAGAATCGGCTGAACTTTTTTGCCTGTTTGTTTTCAGCTCCCAACCTCAAAGGACGACCACGGAAGAAAAAGTCCAGCAACTCACAAAGAAGAGATTCGTTCAGTGGCAATAAAGATTCTCAGAATAATTGCGAAGGCAAAACTGTGGCCAAGGTAAGGAGCTCCGGCACCTTCCCCAAATTTCCTTTCCAGATGGGTTTTGCTCTTCTTCTTCAGGGCAGCGTTTCAGGGGGAGGACAGGGGTATGGAAAGGGAGCTGGGGTTCCTCCCCAAAGGGCACCCTGGTAGAGTCAACCCTATAATGCAGGTTCCGGGAAGCAGCTCCCCTCTTCTTTTGGTAACTTTCGCAGCCTCCTCTTGGAGGGGCTCCTGCAGCCAATGGCAGCCAGTGTCTTTTCCTGAACTCAGAGCTAAGCAGGTCCGACTGGTGAGTAGAGGGGGCAAGGTCTCTAGGAGATCCCATCGTGGAAGTTAGACTGGGAGGGGGAGAAATGGACCAGAGGAAGATGGTGGGCAGGATCATCCCCACCATTGCAAGGAAACTACATGGACCTGCCCAGGATTTAAAGTTATTTTGAAGGATGGTTGGAATTTGGGGAGGGGGGAGTAATTGTGAACAAAGGGTGAGTCTGGTTCACTCCTTGGGCTAGTTGCAAAAGCAGTCGTGGAGGCTAAAAATGAGACTGTGAGCTCATCTCAAAAGCATACGTGGCCGGAGAGGCACCACTCCTAGTTCAGTGGTGTCCCCTTCAGAAGGTCTCCCCTGTTCCAGCTGCAGAGGCTGCAGCATCCTCAGCTCACCTGCTTGAGTGTTTCCCACGCAAACTGCTTCTATGAGAGACCCACCACTCCTAGCTGGAGTTTTAAGAAATGGCAACACCCCTGGAAGATTCTTCCTAAATTCCTCAATAGGCTGGAATCTTTAATGCTATAAATCAGTTGTAAAGGCCTTCCGAAGATGAGAGGCTGGTGTTTTTTCATCTCCCAGCCATTGAAAAATGGGAAATGGGGAATTCTCTGCAATAGGAAGTAGGAAGCTTGGTTAAATTGCTTCTTGCAGTTCCCAAAACAGTTCTCCCTCCTCTTTTTGTGAGCCAAATGATGGGCCAAGCCCTGGACTTACAGGTGGTGGCCTTGGAGAGAAGAATTCCCACTTGATTTTTTTTTTTTTACCTGAATTGAGGCGCCAAAAAGAGCCGAGGTGGCGCAGTGGTTAGGGTGCAGTACTGCAGGCCACTTTANCAGTTTTGGTCACCACACTATAAAAAAGATGTTGAGACTCTAGAAAGAGTGTAGAGGAGAGCAACAAGGATGATTAGGGGACTGGAGGCTAAAACACATGAAGAATGGTTACAGGAACTGGGCATGGCTAGTCCAGTGAAGAGAAGGACCAGGGGAGACATGATAGCAGTCATCCAATATTTGAGGGGCTGCCACTGAGAGGAGGAGGCCAAGCTATTTTCCAAGGTACCTGAAGGCCAGACAAGGAATAATAGATGGAAACTGACCAAGGAGACATTCAACCTAGAAATAAAGAGAAATTTCCTGACAGTGAGACCAAACAACCAATGGAACAGAAGTTGCCTTCGGAAGTTGTGGGAGCTTCATCACTGGAGACTTTCAAGAAGAGACAGGACTGCCATTTGTCAGAAATGGTGTAGGTGCTCCTGCTTGAGTTGGGGGTTGGACTAGATGACCTATAAGGCCCCTTCCAACTCTGTTAGTCTGTGAAAGCTGTCATTGGAGGCGGGGAATTCAGATTCTTAAAAAGTGGATGTACTGCTCTTGTGAAGGCTTTTGCCATTTCAGCTCAAAAGCATCGGTGAAATTGGTGGGTTTGGGTTTTTTGCCTGTAAGATGGAAAAAAGGTGAAAAAGGTAGCCCAGGAGTGACAGTTTTTGGAACAGGAGAAGCGGCTGAGCTTTTCCTTGCCTTCTTCTGACCTGGGTAGAGAAGCAGACAGATCCTCTCCTCTCCAGCCCGGGAGCAGATCCTCAGCCCTTACCTTCCAGGGCTTCAATATGGAGCAGGAGCAGCCCAGGATCCCTCCGTGTGCCCGTCCCCTTCTTCGTTCTAAACACTCAGCATATTTTCCAGCGCATGCAGTATTTCTTTGAAGAAGAAAGGAAACATGCAGGGTGTGCCAGAAAATGGAACAAAGAACAAAAACACAGCTAGTGACTCACTATGAACATTGTTTAATTTTTCTCAACACGCAATTAGTTAATTACTCTTCGCCAAATTAATTTGCATTTGTCTTTTTTAACCTTCTCTTTGTCAGAGCAACGTAAAGGCAGCAAAGCTTTGATTTCTCACTTTCAAGGTAAATCTTATTTCCTTACCACTGGCAGATCTAGGTGGGACTGGTGCAAAGGGGCATTTTGATTTGGGCTGAAGGAGGGAAGAAAATGGATCTCTCCCCAGGACAAATGGCCACAAATTCCAGCCTTACACTAGGATTTCTAATTTTAACACAAATAGTGTCTCGGGGAGGGGGAGATGTACCACACATACAAATGTTATTTTGATAAAATGCAACAAGGCAAATGTGATCATTATGGAACATGAATAAATATGCAGGGATCTTGTAGATTTTTCAGAAGCAGACACTTTGCCCAAATGCTTTGCAAATGAGTCCGCAAACCACATTTAGAATTGTTGCAGATTTTTAATTAAAGGCATTTCACAAGCCATTGCAAGTGAAAAGATTATAGAATATAGCAACACTTATTCCTGGTTAATGAGCAAATATTCAGTATTTGTAAAGCAGATAAAGGCGTATACGGTTTTATAGGAGGATTTTTAATAACTGCTGGTTGTAGATTGGGACAAAGTTCAGTTTGGAGAAAGCTTCCATTTGGAAAGGCCTTGACAAGCTTCCAGCGTTGATATGGGGCCACCTGAGATGCTCCAATGGAGCTACCTGGACATCCCAGGGCACCAGGGTTATGGGGGAATCTCCAGCAGAATCCTCTCCAGGAAGCAGAGGAGCTCCATGGAGCAATATTTCCACCCAATTGTGGGTGGTGGAGATGTCGAGACCTTCATTGTCCCTCCCTCCCTTCTCCTGCACTAGAAGGAAAGGGGAAATTTTCCATAGGCAGCAGGAGGGGGGGAAATTGTGCAGCACTAACCATTGTGCTGTTCTGCTCCCAACTGCGACTTTGAATGCTTGTTTTCAATAGCTTAGGGAAAATTACTACAAGATTAGAGGAGCTTTATTTTAACGGCTTTGATTCCTTGTGCTAATATCAAACATTGGAGGAGCTGAACAATTAAAAGGAGAAAGAGGTAAAGCCAGATTGCTTCCTTAGATGGGAGGCAGGATTCTCTTCAAACCCCCCCCCCCCCGTATAAAACTGAAGGCAGATAGTAAGAAAGGTGTCATTGCAAAAAAAAAAATCCAGCAAAATGTGGTCTTGTTTCAAAACCCTGAAGATCTGCGGGATCAAAGAAACACTTATGTTAAAACACTTCCAACTTCCTTAATAACTTTTATCTGTCTTTTAAGTCCTAGAGGTGGTTGCAGAGCAAACTAGGTTCAAATCTAATTGACCCTTGTAGATACTTATATTTATATAGTTATTTGAAATAGTTTTGCACTACAGATGTTACGCCATTTTAGAACTTTAGACTAAATAATGTCAGTTCTTGTTTGCTTTCTTAGTATGTTATTCATTTATTGGGAAATTCAAAATGTAAAACATCTGGAAAGAGGCTTCATGCTTGCGAAGCCGTCTTTGAAATGTGTACATTTCAGACTTTCTCTTTAATGGCTGTTTAGAAGGAGGGAAGAGGCTTGTGGGCTGCAGTTTGTAATGTTCTGCAAATGTCCTCCAGCAAGGCTAAAAATGACAGAGCATCAAATTGGAAAAGATTGGGATGGCGTATAAGTTCATTAAGCCCTTTGCTCCACAGTCCAAGTAGATTTTGGAGTCAAAAACTGTGACCTTTGGTGTTCTCTGTAAACACTCTGCAGCAATTTTATTCAGTGGCTGCCCTCCAGATGTTTGGAGCTCCCATCAGCTCAGCCAACACATCTGGAAGGCCCAGGAGAAGATGGCACACACTGTGAAGAAGATTTCTGAAGAAATTATTGTGTGTCTGTGACAGTCCTCTGATAGCATCTGCATCAAAATAGAAGAATTTAGCAATTTGATCTCCTGTGTGTGAAGTTAGAGACACAGACAACCAGTGATCAGAAAAGAGTTGGCATCTATTGGAAGCGCTGGTGTATTACTGTTTTAATGGCCTCACAATTTCATTTCCACAATTATATGCATTTGATGACCATGCCTTTATAGAATCAACACACTCAGCAGAAAATCGGGGCAATTGGGAGATGACGCACTACAGGAAACAGAAGAGAAAAAATTGATAACAGTTTTAATTTTCCTTTTTATGTTGCAATAATATTCCCTGAATGGTTATGTTTCCTTTCTTTCAATTATGCCTCTTAAACACACACACACTAGAAAAAAGGATGTGCCTCAGAACACAGCATTTGCCCCCCATCCCCCCTGATTTATGGGATGCAGGCAAATTTAATGCACAATAGCAGGAGAACATTTGAGGCAGAACTGGGGCCTGGTCCTATTTGTGGTTCTCTGGCCAGACCAACCAATGGTGTACCCACAGTTGGCGAAGAACAGGACGTGTGCTGTGCCCAGACTTTGACCAGCGCTGATCATCTAGGTGACTATTTCCATCTGTAAAAGAAAACATTATTATATGTTTGCATGGGAAAAATTATAATGTATATCAGGCAAAACCCTAGAGTGAGTAAGTGACTTGTGTGCCTTGATTGAATGGTTACTAAAGACGAGAAACTGAATGGATAAGTGTTAAATAGGGCAAAATAATACTGAAAATATGTGGATGGGACAAATTGTGAACAAACCATTTGGATAATATCACTCCTCCTACCAACCCCTGATTCGTTTAAGTACCTTTTGGTTTCTTTCTTTCCATTTCTTACAATGCCGGATCGGTTGGCTTTGTAATCGGTCAGAAATCGTAATGGAGGAGTGAAAGCATTGTATGAATCTGGATGGTCTCCTCTCCAGTTGAGAGATATCTGCCCAGGGTTTGTTTGTTTGTTTGGGGATTTTTTTATAAAGTTCGGTCTATATAATTATTTCAAACAACATGTG